CAAGATTACCCTCTTCCACCAACTATAAATAGAGGCGAAGTTGATGGCCTAAGAGAGGAAAAAAAAGGGTCCAAAGTCGGCCAAAAACCAGCCCTTTTGGCCCTGTTTCTACAGTTTTTCTTTCCCTCTCTCTTTGCCATTCCAACCACTAATTTGAGCCACCAACAACTTATCCACCACTAGCTCCACCACAGGAAACCACCTACCGACCATCGAAAGCCACCACCGCGAGGTCCTCCATCTCTCCTCTGCATATTTCCTTCTTCTGCTTCTTCTTTTTTCTTGCTCCGTCACAAGCAACCAACATCGCCACCATTTATTCCACCAGAACCTCTGCCAACTTCACGTCAGGCCAATGACAACAGCTCCTTCTCCTCCGCAAGGTTGCCTCCCACCGTTGTCTGCAACTGGAAAGTTGCATGCAGAACGTGAACTTATTATTCATGTTCTACAAATAATTCATTTACAATTGGGCCGGGTCAATTCAGGCCCAGCTCAATCAGCTAGTCTGACCCGACCGAAAAAAAGAGAAAGAAAATATGTTGGGCCGAGTTTGACCTAACCTTTTGGGCCTAGTTCGACCCAACCATTTTTTGGGTTTTTGTTTGGGTTAGCCCACATTTTTAAAAATATTTAATTAATATAATATTATATTATACATTTCCTTTAAAAAAACAAAACAAAATAATTCCCAAAAAAATTCAAAAATCCTTTAAAAAATTTGTGATTTTCTTAAATATTTTTCTACTAATTTTGTATAATATTGGGTTGCATATTTATACTGTAACATACAAATCTGGTATTAAAATACCCGATTTTCTCTAAAATATTTCAAAAAAATCTCAAAAAAACTTTTAAATCAATTTCTATTTTTAAAAATTATTTTTATGAATAAGGCCAAATCCTAAAAATTTTCCAAGCATGTTTTCATTAAAAACAAATTACATATTTCTCATGTTTTGAAAACCCAAAAAAAGATATCATAACCAATTTATGATCATCCATTAGGATTTGGCCAAAATATCAAAAATCTTTTTTTAATTTTTTTTCTAGAATCCGAATGTAAACTTTAATATTTGTGGGTGTAAAATTACACAATAAATTACACCCTCAGGTATTAAAAATACAAAGTGTAAATAAATGTAATGCTAAAATTTAAACTTTAGAACAGTTATAATTTAAACAATGATAACAACAAATGTCAAGGTTAGAGGATCCACTAATGTTATGTCAAACAAGTATAGTATAAACTCTTATTATTCAATTGGAAACCACACACAAAGGAGGTTCCAATCAGATTATAAATTGTTAACATGATTACATTAGTCATATTATTTGATTAATGCTAATACTAGTAAATCTGGTCAGACATTCATGATTATAACTTATGTTAACAACAAATCAAGTTCCTTTCATAGTTCAGGTGTTTGTTATATCATACAGTATGAGCTATGAAAGTGCCAAGCATTTGTTGTACTAAGTGTTATACAACATAAATCTAGATTAGTCATATAACAAGCAAAATAATGATATAATGAAATGAAGAAGAAGACCCTAAGAAAATTGACCTAAGACCTAAGCTAGCTGTGAAAGAAACTGAAATTAACTAAGAGGATAAGGAAATAGAAATGAAATGAGACCAATTCCTAGAATATCTAATAAAGAAAAATGAATAAAATGGAAATAAAAAATTATGGTAGAGGGTTGGCCTTAACTATTGGGTTGGCCAGCATGGATGTGTGTGTTCTATTGGAATTTATTGAAAGATTGTGTTGAAATTGATGGCTTCAATATGTGTCCTACTGGAAATTATTGAAAGAGTATATGCTGAAATTGATGGTTTCAATATGTGTGTGTTCTGTTGGAACTTAGTGACAGTTGATATGCTGGGATTGTTACAGCATGTGTGGTGTGTCATGCCAAAATGTGTGTTGTGCAGCAAATTTGTGATTTGTTGTCGAAACTGTGTCTACTACAACGAATTGACATTCACTGCCAAATTATGTGTTCTACAACGGAATTACGATTCGCTGTTGAAAATATATCGTCCACAGTGAACTAATATTCGCTGCCGAATTGGGAGTTTTACAGCCAAAATTGTAATTCGCTGCTGAAACTGTGTCGACTGCAGCGAATTAACATTGGCTGTCAAAACTAAGTTGTTTGCAACAAATTAGCATTTTCTACCGAATTATGTGTTCTGCAATGAAATTGTGATTCATTATTGAAAATGTGTCATTTGCAGTGAATTAACATTCACTACTGAATTGGGTGTTCTGTAGCAAAATTATGATTCGTTGTCGAAACTATGTCGGCTGCAACGAATTACCATTTACTACCAAAATTGAGTTATGTGCAGCGAATTAGCATTCACTGCTGAATTATGTGTTCTGCAGCGAAATTATGATTCACTGTAGAAAATATGTTGACTACAGCGAATTAGCATTTGCTACCAAAACTAAGTTGTCTGCAGTGAATTAACATTCACTGCAGAATCATTTGTTCTGCAACGAAATTGTGATTCACTGTCGAAACTGTGTCGTCTACAATGAATTGGCATTCACTATCTAATGGTGTGTTGTGCCGAAACTGTATCGTCTACAATGAATTGGCATTCGCTACCGAATGACGTGTTCTGCAGTGAATTTGTGATTCGCTCCCAAATCTAAGTTATCTATAAAGAATTAACATTTACTAATGAATTGGGTATTTTGCAGTGAAAGTGTGATTCGTTGCTGAAACTGTGTCGGCTACAACGAATTAATATTCGTTGCTGAAATTTAGTTGTTTACAGTGAACTAGTTTTCGCTACTGAATTGGCAGCTTGCAGTGAACTAGTTTTCGCTGCCAATTTCTACAACAGGCCTCGTAAGCTGAAATGACTTACATGCTTGTAACAATTTCATGGTATGATGATGTAAAATGTGGAACACTTGAATATGAACATATAAACTCATAAAATAAGTGTGGTGAGGAATGTGATCCAAAGATACACATGTACTGATTTGTGACCATTGATGTCTTAGGTGGTGTGGTCGGGATTGGACCGTTGTAAATGCCCAAAAGAAAACATATACATAGAAAGAGAGAATTGATGAATCCACCATCGATGTCAATTTCTGAATCGGCAGCGTCGTAGTTTTCGTTGCCGATTTCCTAAATCGGTAGTAATGTCATTTTCACTACTGATTTCTGAATTGGTAGCAACGCAATTATTTTTAAATTTTCTTAAGGAGATGGAGGGAGGGGTAAAACTGGTTTTAGATAGACCAAAATAAGGATAAGAACACATCTAAACCAACCACCAAAATAACCCACCTCATTTAATGGGGAGTATAAATACAAGGAGATAGAGGATGATCCATCTTCTTCCCAAAGTTGTCTCCAACAGTTGCATGTCGACCTTCCCTTCCTCTTTCCCAATAGAAACCTAAACCAAACCAGTAAAGAGTGCTTTGTGAACATGTGAGGGAAAGATGAGACCTCGAGGGAAGATTTGGACAGCTGCCTAAGGAAAAAGAGGGTTGGAAACGTGAGAGGAAGAAAAAGAAGGAGAACCAGCAGGAGAAGAGAAAGAATAGCATCAAACCTTCCTCAAACTTAGTTAGATTCGAAAGGTATGCGTCATGAAACTCCCTTCCTCTTCTCCTTAAGACCAGAAATAGAAATGAAGTAGAAAAACCCTAAGAAAATTGACCTAAGACCTAAGCTAGCTATGAAGGAAACTGAAATTAACTAAGAGGACAAGGAAACACAAATGAAAGTGATGGTTTCAATGTGTGTGTTTTGCTAGAATTTATTGAAAGATTATATGTGGTAATTGATGGTTTTCAATGTGTGTGTTCTGCTGGAATTTTATTGAAGGATTATGTGCTGAAATTGATGGTTTCAATGTGTGTGTTCTGCTGGAACTTAGTGACAGTGTGTGGTGTGTGTTCATGCCAAAATGTGTGTTGTGCACCGAAATTGTGATTCGATGCCGAAACTATGTCTGCTACAGTGAATTAGCATTTGCTGTCGAAACTGAGTTGTCTGCAGCAAATTTGTGATTCGTTACCGAAATTGAGTCTTCTACAACGAATTAGCATTCGCTGCTAAATTCTGTATTGTGCAACCCAAATTGTGATTCGCTGCCGAAATTGAGTCTTCTACAGCGAATTAGCATTTGCTGCTGAATTGTGTGTTCTACAATGAATTTGTGATTCGCTGCCAAAACTATGTCGTCTGTAGCAAATTAGCATTCATTGCCAAAACTGAGTTGTCCACAGCGAATTTGTGATTCGCTGCCGAAACTGAGTTTTCTGCAACGAATTAGCATTTGCTACCGAATTGTATATTGTGCAGCAAAATCGTGATTTGTTGTCGAAACTGTATTGGTTGCGTGTGTTGTGCAGCGAAACTGTGATTCGCTGCTGAAACTGAGTCTTCTACAACGAATTACCATTCGCTGCCGAATTGTGTATTGTGCTGTGAAATTGTGATTCATTGCCGAAACTAAGTCTTCTGCAGTGAATTACAATTCACTGCCGAATTGTGTGTTTTGCAATGAATTTGTGATTCGTTGTCAAAATTGTGTCATCTGCAGCGAATTAACAATTCACTACCGAGTGGCGTGCTCTGCAGCGAATTTGTGATTCGCTGCCATAGTGGAGTTATCTGCAGCAAATCACTGCCGAAGTTGAGTTGGATGTAGTGAAATGGTGATTCGCTGCCGAAGTTGAGTTGTCTATTACAAGTTAGCATTTGTTGCCGAAACTGTGGCACCAGCAACAAAACAGTTCTTGCTACCGAATTGGGCAGCCTGCAGCGAACCAGTTCTTGCTGCCGATTTCTACAATAAGCTTCCTAGGCAGAAATGACTTAAATATTAGTAACAATTTCATGGTATGAGTTGTGAAATGTTGATCACTTAAATGAGAACATATGAACTCTTGAAATAAGTGTGGGGATGAATGTGATTCAAAAATACAAATGTATTGATTTGTGACCATTGATGTCTTAGGTGGTGCGGTCGGGATTGGACCATTGTCAAGATAAGAACAACCCACAGGTGGAGCAGGTAGGTGACTTGCACCTTCCTTTTCATACGTTAAATAATGACATATTTTAACATGAATGTTACCATAATGGGTTAGAACAAATATCAGATTGTCAAATGTTTAAATGTTGATTAGCTTCAACTAATGGCATTCGAAGGGATGACCAGGACAAGGATTATGTGCTGAAATTGATGGTTTCAATGTGTGAGTTCTGCTGGAACTTAGTGATAGTGTGTGTGCTGGGGTTGTTATAGCATATGTGGTGTGTGTTCATGCCAAAATGTGTGTTGTACAGCGATACTGTGATTTGCTGCCGAAACTGTGTCTACTGCAGCGAATTTGTAATTGTGATTCACTGCTAAAACTGTGTTAGCTATATGTGTTGTGCAGTGAAACTATGATTCATTGCCGAAGCTATTTTGGTTGTAGCAAATTAGCATTCGCTGCCGAAACTGAGTTGTTTGTAGCGAATTTGTGATTCGCTGCCGAATTGTGTATTGTGTAGTGAAATTGTGATTCTCAGCTGAAACTGTGTCGACTATGTGTGTTGTGCAGCAAAATTGTGATTCGCTGCTGAAACTGAGTCCTCTGCAGCGAATTAGCTTAGTTTCAGCAGCGAATTAGCATTCGTTGCTGAATTGTGTATTGTGCAGCGAAATCATGATTCATTGCCGAAATTGTGTCAGTTGTGTGTGTTGTGCAGCGAAACAATGATTCGCTGTCGAAACTGAGTCTTCTGCAGCGAATTAGCATTCGTTGCTGAATTGTGTGTTGTGCAACAAAAATTGTGATTCGTTGTCGAAACTATGTCGGCTGAAGCAAATTAGCATTCGCTGCTGATTAGTACTTAAAAGTGCATTTTTATTAAGGTTTTATATCATCATTTTTCACTTGAAGTATCAATAACTCCTTAACTAAAACATGTTTTATAATAATATATCTAATAATATAAGATACCTTTAATTTATGGTAAATGTTCATTTTAAATGCAGGCCTATCACAAAAATGAAAGGATTGATTAATAAATTTAAGAACTAAAATTGAAAGGACAAAGAAATGGCCAAACTTAGAAAAGAGATGCTAGTGCAATCCAAACCGAAACACTGTTCAGTAATTGGGTCATATTTGGAGCTGTAGATCTCCGATTTAGATCTACTTTATATGGATGAAAAGGTAAGATATAGGCCTACAAATTTCATATGGAGCCTAAGATCTAACAAGGCCATTTTCAAGTCCAAATTAGAGCAACAACAAAGAAGTCCGAATCTGTTTCCCAACCTGAGCAATGTTTAGTTTTTGGCCCATATCTGGAGTTCTAGAAGTCGAAATGATCTTAATTTTTTACACAAGAAAGATGAGACAATTTCCTACAACTTTTATGTTCAAGTGACTCAATTTTTTATGTTATCAATGACATTTTGGGCAAACAATAGAAGATAAGGATTGTCACTAAGTCAAGAGTTGGTCGCTCATTCATCAATTAGTCATCAAATCAATAGTTCCCAATTTTGGCCTATAAAAGGAGGCATTTGCCATGCATTTAGGCATCTTGGTTTCCAGATCAAGATCATGCTCTTGCTTTCTCTTTTTGTATTTTTTATAATGTTTATGCTTTGCTTTCATTAATATCAAGTTTATACCTTTCATTTACTTAGTTAACTTTTATCTTATTTATGTTCTTATTTTGTTTATTTATTTTTCTTTCTTTCATTATGTTTAGTTAAGTTTATTATGTTAAGGTGAAAAGGTTATACTAATGGTGTAAGAATAAGTATAGTCTAAACTCAACATGGACCTTAATGTTTGATACTAACATGTTTTGCATTTGTTATCTTGTTCACTTTTAATACTTTGCTTGTTAAATGGTAAATCTAGAATTGTGTTGTATAACTCTTGGTACAACAAATACTTGACACTCTCATAGGCCATATTGTATGGTATAACCGACACCCAAGCTATGAAAGGAACTTGATTTGTTGTTAAAATAATTTATAATCAAGAATGCCTGATGAGATTTACAACTATTAGCATTAATCGAATAAGATAACTAATGCAATCATGTTAACAATTTATAATCTGATTGAAACCTCCTTTGTGTGAGGTTTTCAATTCAATAATGAGAGTTTATACTATACTTGTTTGACATACCATTAGTGGAACCTCTAACCTTAACATTTGTTATTATCATTGTTTAATCCTTTCATTGATATTCCATCTCAAAGTTCTCATCATCTTCTTCATCTTCTCCTTCTTTTTCTTTACTACTACTACTACTACTACTACTACTACTACTACTATTATTGCTATTACTATTATTGTTATTGTTATTGTTATTGTTGTTGTTGTTGTATTATTGTTAGTTATAATTTGTACAATTAACCTCCTTGTGGTTCGACCCCGATCTTGCCGAGTTATTTATTACTTCGACACTCCTGCACTTGGAAGAAGACATCAATCTCTTAGTTGTGTCAAGTTTTTGGCGTCGTTGCTAGGGAGGTAAATTCTTGTACAAATTATAGTATTTATTTTATTTTCTCTTTTCACTTTTGTTTTGTATATAACTTCATTTCTTTTCTCTTGTTTCTTTTTCTTTTATTTTCTTCTTTCTTTTAATCTATTACTACACATGCATGAGAGTGTAGTCACGTACATTAAGTGGTAGACTTTGTATGGTATCCTCATCATTTTCAGAAAATATGGCCAAAGAAGATAATCAATCACTTCATAATGAGAATAATGAGAATAACCGTGTTAGAATACTTAGAAACCACATGAATCCCACAAGAACAAGTGCACCATCATGCATAGTTTTTCCTCTTGATGCATCTCATTTTAATTTTAAGTCAAGCATTATTCAACTTTTACCTTCTTTTCATGGCTTAGATTTGGAAAATCCATACTTGCGTTTAAGGGAATTTGAGGAGGTTTGCAACACATATAATGATTGAAATTATAGCATGAACACCATCAGATTAAAGCTTTTTCCTTTTTCATTAAAAGATAAAGCTAAAACATGGCTATAAAATTTGAGACCAGGATCCATTTGTGCTTGGGATGAAATGCAACAATATTTTTTAAAGAAGTTTTTTCCATCTCACAGAACAAACTCTTTCAAAAAACAAATCACCACTTCCACTCAAAAATCAGGAGAAACATTTTACCAATGTTGGGATAGGTATCGAGACTTGCTTAATACTTGTCCTTATCATGGTTTTGAAACATGGAGATTGGTTTCATATTTTTATGAAAGTTTAACACCTAAAGATAGGCAAATGGTGGAATTGATGTGCAATGGTACTTTTGAAGATAAAGACCCTGATGAAGCAATAGAGTACTTAGACTTGTTAACTGAAAATACTCAAAATTGGGACACCGTGGGTACTTCTGAGGCACCCAGTAAAACTCAACCTCATACATCTAGTGGAGGTATGTATAACCTTAAGGAAGATCATGACCTCCGAGCCAAGTTTGCATCTTTAGCTAGAAAAGTCGAGGCATTAGAATTGAAAAAGAGTGGTCAATTAAAATCTGTTGAAAACATTATGTGTCAAATATGTGAAACAAATGAACACTCAACCAATAACTGTCCAACCTTGCCTTCTTTTAAGGAATGTCTCCATGAACAAACCCATGCTTTAAACAGTTTCCAAAGGGCCAACTACAACCCATACTCTCAAACATACAACCCTAGTTGGAGAAATCACCCAAATTTCAGTTGGAAGAGTGATAATAACAATGTACAAACTTCAGAACCACCATTTTAAGCACACTATAATTTCCAAAATTCTCATGGATATGCACCTCCTTATGCTCCACCTCCTACAAGAAATCTTAAGGAAACATTGCATGTATCATTGAAAAGCAAAAGACAATCAATACTCAACTTGCTCAAAACATGATAGATTTTAAAGATACTCTTCCAAAATTCACATCTGCTCTCAGTTTCTAAGAGAAAGGTAAGTTTCCATCTCAACCATAATAAAATCCCAAGGGGCAATACAATGTAAATGCAAGTAGTTCCAGAAGCCAACACATGGATCAAGTCAAATCAATCACTACTCTTCGCAATGCTAAGGTTATTGAAAAACCCACTCTTAAACCTTCTAAGAAAGATGATGAGTTAATCTCTAAGGGTAAGGAAGGGGTTGAATTTAAAAATTGCAAAGAAACAATTGATTCCCCACCAGCACTTCCATTTCCTCAAGCCATGACCAAACAAAGGAAAGTCAATCACAACTCTGAAATTTTTTAAATTTTCAAATAGGTAAGAATCAATATACCTTTACTGGATGCTATTAAACAGGTTCCTTCCTATGCTAAATTTTTGAAAGATCTATACATGGTGAAGAGGAAACTGAATGTGAAAAAGAAAGCCTTTTTAGCCAAGCAAGTAAGTGTCATTCTTCAAAACAATAATGCTTTGAACTATAAAGAGTCTGGTTGTCCTACAATTTCTTGCTTTATTAAAGAACATAAAATTGAAAGAGCCTTACTTGATCTTGGAGCCAGTGTGAATTTACTTCCATATTCAGTTTTTCAAAGTCTCAATTTAGGTAAGTTAAAACCAACTTCTATAACTTTTTTACTTGCCGATAGATTTGTAAACGTGCCTAGAGGAATAATTGAAGATGTGTTAGTACAAGTCGATAAATTCATTTATCCTGTGGATTTTATTATCTTGGATACAAAACCTATTGAAGCATGTAATTCATTTCCTGTTATTTTAGGACGTCCGTTTCTTGCAACTTCTACTACATTGATTAATTGTAGGAATGGACTGATGAAGTTATCATTTGGAAATATGACATTAGAGATGAATATTTTCAACATTTGCAAGCAACCTAGAGATGATAATGAATTACAAGAAACAGATCATATTGAGGAATTAGTTTATGATCAACTTGAATTTACTTTAAGTAAAAATATGTTGGATGAATCTCAAGATTTGCAAATGATTTATTCTGAGGAAGAAATCACAGATGAAAAACGCACTGAAAATGTTGATGCGGATCTTTTGTCA